CCCCAGTGCCCTCGACAGCCTCTGCCCCAGTGCCCTGTGCCCCCTGTGTCCTCTGTACCCCAGTCCCCCCTGCACCCTGTGTCCCCTGCCCCCAGTGCCTTCGGCAGCCTGTGCCCTGTGCCCCCTGTGTCCTCTGTACCTTGTGCCTCCAGTGCCCTGTGTCCTCTGTACCCATGTCTTCAGTGCCCCCAGTGCCCTCGGCAGCCTCTGCCCCTGCACCCCTTGTGTCCCCTGCGCCTTGTGCCCCCTGCACCCTCTATCCTCTGTACCCCATGTCCCCAGTGCCCCTGCACTCAGTGCCCTCAGCAGCCTGCGCCCTGTGTCCCCTGCGCCTTGTGCCCCCTGTGTCCTCTGTACCCCGTATCCTCTGTACCCATGTCCCCAGTGCCCTCTGCACCTTGTGCCTCCCGGGTACCCTGCACCCAGGCCCCCTATGCCCCATGTCCCCTGCACCCAGTGCACAGCCAAGCACTCCAGGAATGGGCAGCTCTGGGCTTTGGACCAGAGGTGCAGACACACACACAGGGAGCCAGGCCCTACAGCTGATTGAGGGGGTGTCACCTCACCACCAGGACAGTACAGGATCGCCCCAGGCCCAGCGGCTATACCTGGGCTGAACTCCTTCCTGCTGCTTCTCTCGACCAGAGAAGCCCCCAAGCTGAGAACTTCTGTGCGCAGTGGCCCGAATGGAGGCCCAGGCTGCCCAGAGCTCCGCTGGAGGGTAGGGTGGGGGGGTCTCTGCATGGGAGGTTATGCTGGGGAATCCCCCCAGCCAAGCAGTTTTCGAGAGAGCCTCCCTATGGGGCAGGGCATTCAACCAGCAAAGCTGCTTCCAAAGGCATCTCCCAGGTGGCAATGCCCACAGGACTGTGCCCTGCTGCTACCTCCATGGGGCCATTGCTGGTATCACTTTTGGCTCCAGGAATAAGAGCTGAGACTCTCACTCCAGTCCCCACGGCACTGGGTGGTTCTATGCCTGCTCCATTGGCTGCCTGTGTGACTGTCGGACTAGGGGAACAGGCTTTTGACCACCCAAGCCAGAGGGATAATTCGTGAGAGGGGCAGGCTCGTAATAGGATGGCTTCCCAACCTTGTCTGCGATTTTCCTGCCCCAAACTCTGATGTCATTAAAATGCTCTTGGCTCCCTATGGAGCGTGCTAGGCCTGCAGGAAGGAGCCTTTTTCCTGGGGAGCTTGTAAACTCTGCAGGAGCAGAGCAAGAACCTCTGGGTGGAAATGTTCTTGCTAGGAAAGTTTCCTGTATAGCTCCAATAGAAATGTAGTGCCCCAGGGACGGTCCTTGTGGGAAGGGCTTTGGGTTTCAGCTTGGTACCCCAGGTAAGCTCTATACAGGAGCCACACCCCATTGCTGGCTTGCTTGTTAGTGTGTAGATTAGGGTTAGAGGCTAACCAGGTCTTTTGCCAACAGGGGATGTGGCCGGAGATGCAGAGGATAAGTCTCAATTTTTCATCAATTAGGGAAAGCTGTTCTGTTGACTCTCCCTTGGTCCCCCACATGTCCCTGTCCCCATTCCTGGTGCCAAGACGGGAGAGGGATGCATCGCTGTGGTGTTCCCATTGTCCCCTAGTAGACATGTTGCATTTCAAGCCAGATGTTATTACTAACAGGGCAGTCCCACATGCAGTGGAGAAAACGACGTTTGTAGCAACTGTATCCGGAAAGCCACAGAACATCAGCTAGGAGGTGGACAACCAATCTGAGCATGGGAGAGAGGCAGTAGGGCACCAGTCTTATAAAAAGAATCTCTGGCAACGGTCACTGACGTAAATATAACTTCACTTCTATGGAGCAAGGATTAAGAGGAACCATCGTAACTAGATAGATGGTAATGGAGCCAGAGGCGGTTGGGATGAACTCATCAGGCCAGAGCAACTTGATTACAGAATTATGATATCAGCTGTTCATGGGAATGTGGTGGTATTATCTCCCGGATGTAAAAAGGCAGTGATACAATTTTGTCTGAGAACTGCATGCAGTGGTTTGGCAGTGACCCAGCTGAGCGCTGTCACATGGAAGGAAAACTGACTCAAGGACCAGAAACAAAGGGTGACTGAGGCCCAACCTTGCATCTGGACCCATGGTTTCAGTGCAGCTTTCACATATTCTTGCAGGACCAGAGCCATAGGCTGAGTGTATGTCACACCCATATAGCTATGGGCGTTTTCACACCAGCTGGCCTATTTCTGAACAAGGTTCTGCCAGGAATTGTCACAAATGGGGCTTTTTGCAAGTCCAGGTATTTTTTAAAATAGTTTATGTCCCTGATTCAGTCACGTACTTAACGCAGGTGCCTAACTTCAACCCTGACTACACATATGCTCCAAGTGAATAGCGTAGCTGAAGTCGACGTACTTAGATCTACTTACTGCGGTGTCTTCACTGCGGTGAGTCGACAGCTGACGCTCTCCTGTTGACTCTGCTTGCGCTCCTCGTTCTGGTGGAGTACCAGAGTCGACGGGAGAGCGCTAGACTAGACGCGATAAATGGACCACCGCTGGATTGATCGCTGCCCGCCGATCCGGTGGGTAGTGTAGACAAGCCCGAGACACCTGTTTAAGTACCATGCTGAACTGGGGCCTTAAACTATCAATTGACTGGTACTGGATGATTTTAGGCAATTTTTTTTTCATGACAAACAACTTAGTATTTATTTTAATATATTGTGCCATGCTTCTTTGTTTAGCTAATACTGGGACTTCTGCATTTTTGTCAGGATTTTTCTCACTGCAGACAACCAGCCTCGGTAGTGCTAAACAGCAATGTATAGCAGAAGAAGAATAGACTGATAATACTTTGCATGTATCTACCACTTCATCCACAGGGTGCTGTCATGATTGGCAATAGGTCTAGTTTTATTAACAGCCTCATTAATGACACGGTAGAGGGGGCAAATGGCACTTTACTTAAATTATAGTCAACATTGCTCATGACAAGTAACTTGTGGTTTTAGGTAAAATCAGGAAATGAATATTCTAAAAGATTAAGACTGCCATCTAGTGACTCCTTCACTTATTTATACTTTGCCGTTGTAATTTTTTGGTCTGGCCAACAATTTTTGATATTTTTTGGAGAGTAGGGGTTAGAAAACTGACCGTTTTTCAAAACTGGAATTTTTTGGGGGGGAGGGAAATTAAAAATGTTCTGGTTTTCAATGAAACCCCCAAATGAAAAATATTTTATTTTTTTATTTTTTCCCCCTATCCTCCCAGTTTCCTATCTCCCTTCTTCAGGGGCAAAATAGACAATGAAAAAAAGTGAAGGGGAAATTGGAAAAACAAAAAGCCATTTTTGAAACTGCAAATTTTCAATACACATTTTGAATGAATGACAAAGTGCTCCTTTTTGAAACCTGCAGATTAAAAACAAAAATCCTATTTATTTTGCAAAAACTTCCATTTTTTGGCCAGCTACTGTAACGTCACTTATAAGTTTTTCCTGTTCCAGAATGGTATGTGGGTTTAACTAAGAAACCACTGGTTTTGCCTTTTCAAATGTGCGGAGTTCAGTAATTGGGCGGTTGGAGATATGATGGTGAAAATCAGGTTGAAATTAAAATGAAGCTTCCTTATGCATTTTGCTGCACCTTCTTCATCTAGTCTGACCCCCAGAGAAGACATTGATGTTGTATTATGAACCAAACATTTTAACTGAGTGCAGCCAATCCATCTGCTTCCCAGAATGGGAAGGGGCACATTTGCTTCACTTGGCAATTAGAAGTATACATTTTACTATTAAAAATGCGTGTGGCTAAAATGTAAAAGAGAGAAGTCACTGATTTTTAAAATCTAGAAATGCCATTTGAGACCTTCACATGCAATACTAACGCAAAGTTGTCTGATTTTATTGTATTTTAAGTGGCTTGCTTTGGGAAGTAGCTATTTTGGAAACATCTAACTAAAATCACCAGTGGGCCCTGTTTTAATTTAACAATTTATTCTCTGGGTTCTTGGAGGCTGGCTGCAGCTGGCCCTGTTCATTTCAGTCCGCTTTACATTTTAGCCAAGAAAATACTATCAGAGAATGAGTTCTCTATGTATTTGTTGTAAAAGCAAAAGCAGAATTTCCACCAGATTTTATAGCACAATAGAACATGAAGTGCTGAATGCAAGAAAGGACCCCCTCCTGCTTTTTACAATCAAGTGCATTTGGGAAGGATTTTTTTTCTTACATTATTTTGCAGAAAAATAAAACTCATGTCACACTTCAGGGCTTTCCAGGGATCCTTCCCCTTC